GAGGAGGAGGGGGAGGAGGAGGAGAGGAGGAGGAGGAGGAGGAGGAGGAGGAGGAGGTAGGAGGAGGAGGAGGAGTAGGAGGAGGAGGAGGAGGAGGAGGACGGGGGAGGGGGAGGGGAGGGGGAGGGGGAGGGGGAAGGGGGAGTGAGGAGGAGGAGAGGAGAGGAGGAGGAGGAGGAGGAGCGAGGAGGAGGAGGAGGAGGAGGCAGGAGGAGGAGGAGGAGGAGGAGGAGGAGGAGGAGGAGGGGAGGAGGGAGGAGGAGGAGAGGCAGGAGGAGGGGAGGAGGAGGAGGAGGAGGAGGAGGAGGAGGGCAGGAGGAGGAGGAGGAGGCAGGAGGAGGACGGAGGAGGAAGGAGGAGGAGGAGGAGGGGGAGGGGGTGGGGGAGGGGGAGGGGAGGAGGAGGGGGAGGAGGAGGAAGGAGGAGGGAGGAGGAGAGGTGGAGGAGGAGCGAAGAGGAGGAGAGGAGGAGGAGGAGGAGGGCAGGAGGAGGGGTGCGAGGGCCCGCGCCGATCGGCAAGAACGCTCACCTGGACGGCCCTGCTGGGCCCGCCTCGGGGCACCGGCCAGGACAGACCCCGGGGTTCCCGGAATCATCCTCGTCGTCGTCTTCGTCGTCGTCGTCGTCGTCGTCGCCGTGGTAGTCCTCGTCGTCGTCGTCGTCGTCGTCGTCGTCGTCGTCGTCGTCGTCAGCGTGGTAGTCCTCGTCGTCGTCGTCGGTCGCCCCGTTGGAAGGGGCGGGAGGGCTCCGCAGACATCTGCTGTCCCTCGGCTCGCGCAGAAATTGCCACGGATTCTTCGGTCTTCTCCCGGGACGCACAGAGACATACTACGACTAGATGTCCTCTTTGGAGGCGCGCGTCCGACCCGAACATCTAGTACACCTATCTTGATGCATGTCGTTTCCCGAGTGGGGTGGCCAAAAAGCGCCCGCCACGACGCAGGCAATGTAAGATTTCTTGATGCGCGCGTCGCCCTTTGGGGGGGCAACGCACATGCACACATGCTATTAGCATCTTGGGGTGCCGCCGATCTCAGGACGCACGTCGCGCCGGAGATCCCACGGCCTCTTCAGACTTGTCGGGACACCTGATATTCTCAGACGGCACGCTGACACAACTGGGCGAATTCTTATTCATTGGTTTGCCGATCGGCCCCGGCCCTCGCACCCCGCCCCTCCCACCCCCCCATGGAGTAGATCTTGGCTGTTTTTGGCCGCTGGCCGCACTACTGCAAACAGTCGCACTAAGCAGAGGTCCGGAGCCCCCCCCCCACACCCCTCCCTCCCCGTTTCGCCCTCTGTCGAAACGCCGAGGGGGGGGGGGGGGGGAAACGCCTCACATGAATTATGCAAAATAGATACATCTGGCTGACATCCGCAGGGCGATCCGAATAAGAGCCATCAGACGTCAGAGGAGCTAGGAGAATCTCTCCGCCAACCGAGGGGCGGCATGATTGGACGGTTCCCCGGGGGCGTAGGGCGACCGAGGAGGGGGAGAGGGAAGAGGAGGAGGGAGGAGGAGGAGGAGGAGGAGGTGGAGGAGGGAGGATGAGGAGGAGGGGAGGAGGAGGAGGTGGAGGAGGAGGAGGAGGAAGGAGGAGGAGGTAGGAGGAGGAGGAGGAGGAGGATGGGGAAGGAAGGAGGAGGAGGAGGAGGAAGAGGAGAGGAAGAGGGTGGAGAAGGATAAGGAGAAGAGGAGGAGGGAAGTAGGAGGAGGAAGGAGGGGTCGCCTAAGCCCTTCGGAGGAACCCTCCAGAGGGGGATGGTCCTCAGAGCGTGAGTTGCCGCCAGCGCGTGCCTGTCCAGAAGAAGAAGCCATTCAGCACGACGCAGGCAGTGATGGCTGACGTGGGCTGCGTGCAGGCGTGCGAGTTGGAGGCTTTCTCCGAAGGGCTTAGGCGACCCCTCCTCCTCCTCCTCCTCCTCTCCTCTCCTCCTCCTCCTCCTCTCCTCCTCCTCCTCCCCCACTACTCCTCCCCCTCCCCCTCCTCCTCCTCCTTCCTCTCCCCCTCTCCTCCCATTCTCTTTCCTCCTTTCACCCTCCCCCTTCCTCCTCCTCCTCCTCCTCCTCCTCCTCCTCCTCCTCCTCCTCCTCCTCCTCCTCGGGTCGCCTGCGGCCCCGGGAAGCCGTGCAGTGCGAGGTGAGTTCACGCTGGACAAGCACTCACCGCGAGGCTCACCGACGGGTGCGACTGTGGCATGAATCTAGCACACGCCAACATGGATGAGTGATCCGTGGATTTGTTACGCGGGTCCCTTTTCTGCATCCCCGAGGCCCCTGGCGCACAGGCCAGGCACGGCGGTACGACTCCTGCGCCGAATTCGCTGTCACGGGGACTGGCGGAATGGCGTAAGACTCTCGAAGAAGAACAATCTCCGCTCGGGACTCCCTCAGGGGGTGTCTGCGCGCAACCTTGGGCCCTTCTTGCCGACAACTCCCGCGGCCTCAAAACAGATGCCGCAGGCCGCGCCTGCCGCCGGCCGCGCCGAAGACCGACGACCGTGGGCGAGGACGACAACGACGACGACGACGATGACGACGATGACGACACTGACGACAATGACGACGATGACGACGACGACGACGAGGACGAGGACGAGGACGAGGACGACGACAACGACGACAACAGCGACAGCGAGGGCGACGACGACGACGACGACGACGAGGACGAAGACGAGGGCGACTACGGCTACGACAAGGGCCGACGGCTGGTCCGACGACTGGCGACCCGCGCACGATGTGCACGACGACCGAAGACGGCGAAGACCGAACGACGACCGACGACCGACGATCGACGACCGACGACCGACGCTTCGTCTACCAGCGGAGGAAGCCCTGCGGCGAGGGGGGGGGGAGGAAGGGGAGGAAAGGGAAACGCGGCGGCCCATCGCGCCGCCGCACCATGCACGTGCACTGGCCTCAACCCGGGGGCCCCGGCCGGCTCCACGAGAGGCGCGCCTGCAGGGCCTCGCGCCAATCAGCCGACACATCGCTGACCGACGACAAGGCCTCGCAGGGCCTCGCGACCGACGACCGACACATCGCTGACCGACGAACGAGAAAGATGCCCGAGGACCGTCATGTGTGCCCTCTCCGCGACGGACTTCCAGGCGCTCAGCTGCTCGTCGTCGTCGCTGGCGGCGGCGTCGTTCGAGGCGTTGTCAGGGTCCTGCGCTGCAGCCGAGCCGCTGCCATGAGGAACGCCAGACTTAGGTTGGGCGTGTCCTCCTACAGGCGGATTTTGGACGAACAATTAGAAATACGCCGACCCTGTCGGCATGTGTGAGGGGCTTGGCTGATCGAATCCGCCGACCCCTTGTGGGTCTCTAGGAGTGTGAGATGGTTCCCCCCCATACCCCCCCCGGGGACCCCAAACCGGAGATTTGACCCCCCCCCCGGCCCCGGGCGACCCCGGACCGAACGCGTTACCGGGGGAGCGGAGGGTTCCAAAACTGGCCATGAAGGCACCAGAACGCTCCCCAGACGGTCCCAGGGGGCCACGTTTCGCCGAAATATGGGCCTGGACGCCCACGATGGCCTCCAGGCGGCCTCCGAAGCTGCCAAGACGCCCCAAAAGGCCCCCAAGATGCGCCCCAAAAGGGTCCCAAGAAACAAAGATCGTCCCATTCCCTTCGAAAAACAAGCATTTGTCGCATGCTCGCCTATTCGGTTATCACAACGTCCCAGACGGGCAAAAAACCTTCAATATCGCCCCCAGACGGCCAAAGGGGCCCCCTAAGAAGGGTCGAAGAGGGTCCAACAACAGCCCCTGAAGCCCCCAAGACAGCCCAAGAGGGCCCCCAGACGGCCCCAAGACGGCACCTGTTCGAGCCTCCGGCCCCAAGACGCCCCCAGCCTGCCCCAAGAACAGCCCAAGAGGCCCTGAGGGACCCCCCAAAGAACCCCAAAGGCCTCCAAGAAGCCCCCAGGAAGCCCCAAAGAGGCCCCAAAACTTGGAACAAGATGCCTCGAGGCGGCCGGATATGGCCTGCAGACAGGCCAAGATGCCACCAAGAGGCCACAAAAGAGCACCAAGAGGTACGATAACAGCAACGAAGCAACAGGAACGATGTCGAGCGCCGTGTCATGATTCGGACAAGCCTCGTGGAATGCAGTCGTGGAGGCGCAGTACCTTACATAGGGGTCGGCGGATATGGCGTAAGCCTATAGAATCACCGTCTGCGTCAGTC